TGTCCAGTTTTCCCAGTACTAGTTATTGACAGGATTTTTTCCCATTACATATTCTGCCTCCTTTGTTGTAGATTAATTGACTATATAATCGTGGGTTTACTTCTGGGCTGTCTACTCTGTTCCACTGATCTATGCATCTATTTTTGTGCCAATACATTACTGTTTGGCTTACTCCTGCTTTGTCGTATATGAAGAGAAGACATTTAAACTACATTTACATTACTAATAACTTTTAGTAGTTGTTAAGGAGGATATGAGAATGAGCAAGAATAGAACCTCATTTAAATTATAATTTCTTTACGTGATTATATATAATATATAATTGCTGAAACTCCGATGAAAACATTTGGAAAGAGATGGGGAACCTGGAACACACACACACACACAAAAAAAGGGTGAAATGACCTACTAACCTAGAGTAAGCACAGGAGAAATTTAAAATGTTTTGAAAAGCAACAATGAATGGGGCTTAACAACTATTGAAAAGAAATGCAAAGTGATCATCATAAGGAAATCAGATGATAGTTAGGAATTGATACAAGCATACAAATATAAATTCCGGAATACTTTCCAAAGATGACTAAGAAATTAAGATATGATGAAGGTGGCATTGTCATCAACGAGACAGGTCACACTGGCCAATCAATGGCATGGTCACAGCTGCCTGTTTTGAATTCTACCGTGTTTTAGCTCACGGTAGACGTAATATCCAGTTAGTATATCCTCACAACAGCATAATACCCAGACGGAGGAAAAGATTTAAATATAAAAATAAAAGAAATGCTAGTAACAGCAATATGAATGGTTTAATGGTTAGGGGTTAACATAACTTTTAAAAAAATTGCACAATGATTAAAACAACAAATGTTTTTTAAAAATAAGTAATTAAAAACAAACAAACCAGTGATACCAGGGTTTGGAAAACTGTAGAGCATATGTGCCAGTTCTAACCTGGGAATGGATTTTATGTGCCCGTTCTAAGAGTGGTGTTTAATGTTTAAATGCTCATTAAAAAAAAAAAGGGAAAGAAGAAAAGATATAAAACAAGAATAGACAAAAGGAAAAACAATAGAGGAAAAATGAGAGAGAACAAAGAAGAATGTGCAACAGGAAATGTACGCAGCCACAAATCCTAAAATATTCACCGCCTGGCCCTTTATGGAAAAGGCTATACCCCCTAGTTTTCACTATACAACAGATAAAAATAAAAATGTCAAAAACACCATAAACAATAAGCATGAAATGAAAATTTAGGGAGAGAGGGAATTTGAAATATATATGTCAAAAACTTAGCCTCTTTAATTCAAGAATAAACAACCCAAACAAAACAAAACTTATTTCGCTGCGGTATTACCTGCTGGGAGTCTCTGATTATGTTTACATTTTAAATGTAAATAATCATTTTTTTCTGAGTGTATTTTTATTTCACTTATGATTTACTATATTTTGTCTTATAAGAAAAAAAGTGTTCTATGGACAATCAAGAGCCGCAATTTGATGACTTACAAATCCATTTGGTGGAACTGACAAAAAAGTGTCAGCATTGTGGGAGGTGCAGATCCAAACTCCGTGCTCTGCGGAAATGTGTAACTACTTAGTAGTTTGGTGTCTTGGAGGCCGCAAGGGAGAGGCACACTCTGGACTTCCCAAGGATCCCGAGCTGGCCTGAGAAGTAAGAGGGACCCTTCTTTGCTCTTGTCCTCCTCGGAGGGGGCTCAGCGTGGAAGGGATGACGGAAGTGACCACTCAGGGGTAACAGTACAGATGAGAGATTCGGGGTTGGGGGCCATGCTGGAGGCCACCCTAAGGATAGGTGCTGTCCCAGTTATTGAGACTGCTAACCAGGGAATTTGTGTTGTTATTCAAAAGAGCCATTCATTCATACGTTCCTATCTGCTGTGCACCTGCCAAATGACAAGATAGGTTCTATCCACAGGCAACTAAAAAGAGTTGCAGCTCAGTTTCCCACACAAGCAAGAGTCCTGTTTGCGTGTCCCTCAGAGCACACCGCGTCTTGTCCCGTAGCTGTCCCCTTGCTCCTCAGTCCGAGGCAGCTAGACCGGTCCTCCTTTGCACCAAGCCGCGTGTGCATCCTCAGCCTGTGTTCTGGGCAGGAGGGGGCTGAGGAAATAGATGAGTTGAGTTTACCAAATCATAAATAATCAGTTATGTTTCTTTTGTACTGCATTTCACTTTCCTTACCTCGTGGTCTGTATGGGTTTTGCATTCAGTACCTGCAAAAATCCTGAATTACGTCCCATCATGCTTTATACATGGAAGCAGTATATTGTGCTTTTTAATGTCTCTGGTCATAATTAACTAACATCTTAGCTATGAGAATGCATGTGCATCCATCAACATACACACTATGTCAACACACACCAAGAAATATATAGATTGCATCCTTCTTCAAGGGTTAGATATCTAATTTTGTTTATCAAGTGATCCTATGTATTTAATTCAACTTATAAAATTAGCTTCTGAAGTGTAGAGGCATGGTCTGAACGAGAACAGTGATGAGGCTGAGATATTATTCAATGCTTATTAAATTGGACTTCCATCGTGCAATCTGGTGTGGCTGATGCAAGTCTAGCCTCTTCGTTTGACGATGGGCCCATTAATTTGACATTGATTTTTAAAGCACAGGCTTTAGTTTAGAAAATAGAGATACCAGCACTCTGGCTGGTGTATTGACAAGCCAGGCCACCGAGGGGATGGTGTGACCTAGGTCAGAGCAGCTAGTAGAGGTCCATAGGGCAATTAGGTCAAGCCCTGTTTTAATTAACCTGAAATCACTTGAGCATCACTCCTTATTTTTAGTAATTGCTGTCCTCCTAAACGGACTCATGGGCTCTACTGCTTCCCCAAGTTTCAACATAATTATGTCATTGTTATGTCTCAGTTATATTTCAGAAATGCAGATTTCCTCTTTTAAAATTAAATGTCCTTAAGATCCCAGGTTTCTGTGCACACACACACACAAACTGATGGTTAATCTGCAAAATTTAATGTTTCCTAGTTGATGAATAAAGTCCTACAGACATAGCAGATCAAGGCATGTTACTCGTCATGATTCAGAAAGATGATTTTAGGGGCACCTGCGTGGCTCAGTCCATTAACTGTCTGCCTTCGGCTCAGGTCATGATCCCAGGGTCCTAGGATCGAGCCCCGAATCGGGCTCCCTGCTCGGCGGGGAATCTGCTTCTCCCTCTCCTCCCCGCTCGTGCTCTCTCTCACTCTCTCTCTCAAATAAATAAAAATCTTTTAAAAAGAAAAAAACCAAAAAGATGATTTTAGTGGAAATACTTTATAAAATAACAGAGCCATGTAAATATGTGTTATTAGCGTAGCGCCTTGAGTTTTGCAGAAAGATACATTCTGAGGTCTTTGCAAACTTCCAAAGGTGTGAATGCCACTAGCATGTGACTTGAACCCCGAAAGGCAGTGACGAGTCTGTCAGTTTCTTTTGTCAGAATATGGGCAGTAAAGATGGAGTAAATGGAAAATGCTTGTAAGAAAAACAGCATTTACAAAGACGAGGGCCAAAAAGCCAGGCATGCCAAGCTGAGGAAGAAGTCCTGAGGTTCCGTCAGCATCACTGTGAGGCTGTGGACCAGACTGACCCAGGACTGGAACTGAGGCCTCCGCCCGCTGCGCACTCGTTACTGCGTGTGGAACGTTCAGGCCACTCACGAAGAGCCCCACCTGAGCATCCAGGTCCAGCGCTGCCGCGAGCCCACCGTGTGGACGCCCTGTGAAAGGTCTTAACCTCCAGAGTTCATAAAGAGTGGGCGTCATGGATGCGGCACATCTTGGGGGAATTAAGATAGCATTTCTCCCAGTTCTGCACACAGCTGCATTTCGAACCTCCTGCCATGGGAGAGCGTGCGTAAACGCCTTCCATTTGGAAAGGGGTAATTCGCCACCGATCAGTTTTCTTTCGACGGGGCAGAGAAACGTTGCTATTGAAAAAGTCCAAAGTCTTGTCAAATATGGGAGGCTTCACTCACTGGCTGATGTCTTAATGTCCTTATTAGCTTTAAGATCCTTTGATTTTGACGTGGGTAGTGAAAGCATTTAGTCATGTGTCAAGGAGATCCGTGTTGGGGAGCTGACATGTGCTGTCCTAAAGCATCTACTGAGCACCGTGCAAGCAAGCCCTCGGTAAATGTCTGCCCGCCTCGATTCTTCACAGAGAGTATGTGAGGCACATCTCCTAGAGTGGTGGGGAAATGTTTGCAGGTGGCAGAAAGAAGCAAAGCTGCTCATTTCCTAGTATATTTAGGCAAACTGTATTTTTCCAATATTAGGCTGCACTCTTAATTTAAATACAGAGCATTGCATGACAGAGCGTTTCAGTCAGTGGCTCAGAGGATTAGTCGTGTATTGAAAGTAATAAAACATATTCTCTCTGAAGCAAATCCCATTTCTGAAAATCTGCAATTGGGTTTTGGTCACTTTAGTTATCTCAAGAACTTTTATATATGTAAATGTTAATCAAATGGTATTTCACTGCCCTATGATTCATATGCAGGTTATATATAGTACTTTTGCTGTATTTATATCCCTTCACTGGATTTAAAATATTAAAGGGAAACGTTAACATTTTAAATACACGGAAATTACATTTTAATAGTCTGTTACGTCTTCTCACTGCCCACACTTCAAAGACTGAAATCTCTATTTTTTAAGACCTTCATTTCCGGGGCGCCTGGGTGGCTCAGTCATTAAGCATCTGCCTTCGGCTCAGGTCATGATCCCAGGGTCCTGGGATTGAGCCCTGCATCGGGCTCCCTGCTCGGCGGGAAGCCTGCTTCTCCCTCTCCCACTCCCCCTGCTTGTGTTCCTGCTCTCGCTATCTCTCTCTCTGTCAAATTAATAAATAAAATCTTAAAAAAAAAAAAAAAGACCTTCATTTCCACACTCAAATAACTGATAACAATTAGGATTGTTCAAATGATCTGAATTTCTGCCTCAATTTCCCACCTCATTGTTCACAGACAGCTGGGTGTGAAAAGCTCACAGAGTTCAACAACGAAAATCAGAGCCCCCCGCACGACGCTCCCTGCCAATGGGTGAGTTTTGACGAGGCGTTCCTACAAGTGCCATCGCCACGAGTCCGCTCAGAATCGGAACGGTGGCGATCACGGGCCCCGTTCGTCTGACAAGACGTCGTGTGACAGGTCCAGTGACTCATCACGGCTTTCTGTTCCGAGTGGGATGGAATTCTCCCCAAGCCAACAGTGTGAATTTAGGCAAGGGCTGCACACGTCTTGAGGATTTATACGGGATGAAGCCCGGAAGAGCATGAGGCAAAAACTGGAAGAGCCCCTCAGAATAGATTGAACAGGTCACACACCCAGTCTTTGGAATCACGAAATAGGTCATCTGATCAAGAAGCATGAACGATCACGTTGGAGTAAAAATACACTTGGCTTCTACCTTCAGAGAGTCCAATATCTAGTTCACGGTGTAAAGAAAGCAGACTTCGGCACATGCTCAAAATCCTATCTGTATGTATTCTGTGTTTGATTTTGGGTAACAAACCGGGAAATGCTTCTGGTAGTTTTAATGATTCGTGGAGCTGTTGCCAAGAAAGGCAGCAATGAAAGTCTGGGAGATGCGGAGCTTTCGCAGGACGGAGATTTCTGATGAGCATCGTTGTTGCTCCCGGAAAGTTCCAAGACAGCAAGCATGAGCCATGGAGGAGCGCAGGGAACGCACACGCCACGGGGGACGCATCAGTCGGCCCGGAGGCACTGACACACACACACGCGCACCGAGGGCTAAGGCTCTATCGTGCACTTAGTTGAGAAAACATATTTTTGTAGCCAGCGTGACATGTCTTAGAAGAACAAACATTTGTATATTAAGGACGGTGCGTTGCTTTTATTTTGAAGAACAGCTTACTTGGCTTCAGCAAAAGACCCATGTGTCACCTGTCCGGCTCTCTTTCGCTAGAACAGCAGCAGCTGCTGGTACTTCTTCCTAAAACTTCCAGACCGGCATCTCGTGCTGATGGAAGGGAACGGAAGACAAGTGTCTGTCGGAACTCCTGGGATCTATTGCTGTAGAGTCCCGTCCTGTCACGTCATTTGTCGCAGGAAAAGCAAGCATGTGGGGAGGTGGTACGTGTGATGTGCCATCAAGAATGAATGCCCTTTCCAGGGGCGCCTGGGTGGCTCAGTTGGTTAAGCGACTGCCTTCGGCTCAGGTCATGATCCTGGAGTCCCGGGATCGAGTCCCGCATCGGGCTCCCTGCTTGGCAGGGAGTCTGCTTCTCCCTCTGACCCTCCTCCCTCTCATGCTCTCTGTCTCTCATTCTCTCTCTCTCAAATAAATAAATAAAATCTTTAAAAAAAAAAAAAAAATTAAAAAAAAAAAAAAAGAATGCCCTTTCCAGACATGAAGCAAAAAGAAGCCTCATGCATGTGTGCAATGCTAAGGAACAGTCTGAGCTGGCCGATGCAGGAGAAGTCAAAGGGAACGTGAGGAAGGATTTCTGTAAGATTTCCGTGGACGGAGAGATCGCTTCCCAACTCAGACAGCAAAGAAAGGCCTTCCGGAGGAATCGAGGCTGAGCCTGGCTGTGCAGGATGCCTTCTGAGTTCCCGCCACGCACCTCTTGTGTTAACTAAACCCCTATCGATGTGTTATCAACAGCTCTGCTGCTCTGGGAACCAGGGCCTTCATTTTCCTGGAATGGGTTTTCCAAAAAGGAAAACATACCTGTATATTGTGCATCAGCCACATGTTTAAAACTGTGCACTGGGGAGCCCCTTCCAGCTCTGCAGCCCAAAGTACTTCAGCCTTGTCTTAATTAAACCCACACTAGTCTTGATTTGGTACAAGAAATACGATATTGTGCATGAGGCTATAAACACAAGCTGCCAATGAATGGATCGTTCATTTCCCTTAGCAAGTATGTTTCGAGTGTCTGTGATGGACACAGTTTTGCACTAGACAGGACTCCTGTTATAAAGAAGCAAGAAATCCTGGAGCACAGACAAGGAGTGACCAGAGAAATACAAAACCCTTAAGTGGAATGCAAGAGATGTGTCTGGCATGCAAACCTTTTCACAGGGTCCTGGGTACAGGTGTGATTCCGTTCCCAGGTTGTCTGAGTCAGGGTTCTCCAGAGAAACAGAAGCAAGGGCAGAGTATTTGGAGATGCATCCCGAGGAACTGGCTCCCGTGACTGGGGGAGCTGAGAGGCCCCCACATCTGCCATGTGCGAGCTGGAAACCCAGGGGGCCGGTGGCGTGAAGCGCAGTGTGAGGGTGGAAGAGGGTGAAATGCGATGTGCCAGAACTGGAGTGCTGTGGTTCGTCATCGGACACACGTGCACCATGCTGAGGTGAAACGTGAACACTCGGGAGGGTGGCTGAGGGCGGACTGGCCACCCTGGAGTTTCTTGGCAACTTTTCCGTAAATCTAAGGCTGTTCCACAGTGACACGTTTCTGGGTGGGTTGGTTTGCTTTAAACGGGAGGGAATCCTGGGTGGCAAGAGGGGACTGAGATAACGGGTGCAAGGTGGGACATTCAGCGGTGGCTGCAGGATGGTCACCCACTGTTGGGGTTGACGGGATTAAGGACGGCGGTAGTTCGGAGGTGATGGAGGAGAAACGTGGTTTTCAGGGCCCAAGTGGCAAGAAGACGTGAGCTCGGAAGGAGTTTGTATCTGGACGTGGCTGGCTGGAGGGTTCGAGCTGGGACCCTCGGCAGGAGCGCCTCCAGCACCGGGCTGAGGCCCAGAGAAGAAGGAGCTGGAACGGACTAGCACGGGGAGGTCGGGGCGGCCTGGGGTCTCAGGGACACAGCGAGCAGCGTGCACGGGAGAGGGAGGAGCTCTGCAGGCCACGCACTGACAGCCACGGTGGAGCCGGGAAGCTGGTAGCCGGAGAGACGTCACAGTGAATGAGTCCGGTGTAGACACCGGGTGCGGGGGAGACAGCATGAGTTCCACATTTAAGGAGAGTAAAGGAGGCTTCGGGAAAGGAGAAATGGAGAAGGCTGTATTGTGCCCCAGACGATTTGTGAGGGAGGCTTGACAAGATGGGGCATCCGGGTACGGCAGGGTTTCTCGACCTCTGCACTGCCGGCCTTGGGGCCCGATGGGCCTCGGACGGGGGTGTCCTGCACCCTGCAGCCTGGGGGGCTGCCTCCCTGCCTCCACCCTCCACCCACCACGCGGCAGGAGCACTCACGGTCCCCAGCCGCCGCAACCAAAACTGTCTCCAGACGTGGCTGCACGTCCTCGCGGGGATGCAGAGCCACTGATTTGGAACTGAACTCAGTCTGTGGGGCAGAGAGGAGCCTGCCGGGGGAAAAGGGAAGACAGGGAAGAAAGAGGGAGACATTTGTATCTATTTCTGCTTTGTACAAGCCTCGACTCCAGCCGCCAGCATCAGTACCCTTAGAAGCACCCCCCGTGGGATCTGCTGGATGAATTTTGTAGGCAGGAAATATGTGTATTGTGTGTGTCCTGTCAACCAAGCCAAAGTTCACATGTACTAATTCCCTTGCAACGTGGGAAGAATTACTCTATGTTTGCAGGCCCAGATCCCAGGCTGAGCCGGGCCACACACAGAGCTGCGAATGCCCAGAACATTGATTGTGTACGCCTCACGTGAGGCGGCCCTGTTTGCAGAACGGAGCAGCTGTTTGTGGCAGATGTGAGGGAACAGTCGGGCTAGCAGCACGCTCCTCAGAGGCAACAGAGCCAGGAAGCGCTTTCCAGACCAACCAGTGCCCTCACGCTTCTTTCCTTGCTTGCTTGTGTGCCTACTAGCTCAGTCCTTACGGGGCCCCTTCCTCGCCCCGTGCGTCTTCCTGGAAATGTGTGACATCCCATGACCCGGGTGCAGCCGAGGATGGTACGCACAGCAAGCCATGCAGGGCAAAGGCCTTCTAAAAACAAGCTAGTTGTGTCTAGAAGCTTTGCAGGCTCTTCCAGAGCATCGGGCACTCTTTATTAGTAAATACTGTTGCTTCAGGATTCTTAACTTGTGCCCTCGTCATGCCCACCAGGTGTGGTGTGATGAGAAGGGCAGTTCACTTCCATGGGGTTCTTCCCCCCAAACCCATACGCCCAGATGAATGCTCTTCAAATCAGCCAAACCCAGATTGGGGGGCGTTTTACAAAATACCTGACTAGTAAGCCTCAGAATTGTCAAGGTCATGAGAAACAAGGAAACACAAAACGCCATACAATGTGGGGCACTCATAGACGTGAAGATGACCGCAGTGTGGGCCCCTCCGGGGAATCCGGGACGGGAAGAAGGCATTACCCCGGAGAACTGAAGAAACCCAAGCACGGTGAGGACTGTAGCTAATAATACGGCAGCAACGTTCATCTCAGTCGTGACAAACGTCCGGTGGTTGTGTAAGATGTGAACATCTCAGGGCCGCACAGGAACTCTCTCTACTCTTTCCAACTTTCCGTTCATCCAGAATTATTCACAAAGTTTATTTAAAGAAAACTGCATCCTTAAGAAGTTGGGCAGGTGTAAGTTTTAAATTCCAACAGCATTAACTGGGCAGCCATGAAATAGCTAGTCCTGAATCTGATTTGCAAGTTCAAGTCAAGGCCAAGAAGATGCAGTCCTGGTGCGAAGCGGTTACAGGTGAAGACAAACAACTGCTGAGCAGGTGACGAGTGGAAGCCAGCATTGTGGACATGTAATTCCATGCTAAGCGCACGGCATCTTATGTCAGAAGTATGTGTTGTGACAGGTGAGGAAACCTAAGCGCACTGTGCCTCAGCCGCGTGTCCCCTATACACAACTGCGTGGAGCAGACTTGAGTTGGATTCTCTTGCGTCCACGGAAAATGCCCCCATTTTCCACTCAATGCAGCTTTGGTGCAAAAACGTAGGACACAGGAGAAGAGATTAAAGAGGATGAAGACAAGATCTACATATTCCCAAGTTAGAAATAGCTGTGTGGACAGGCATAAAATGGGGAGAAGAGAGAGCAGTTGGGAGAGTGGAGAAGGCTGTGTTGTGGGTACAAGGAGCAGCTGGGAGAGTGGAGAAGCCCGTGCTGTGGGTACAAGGAGCAGCTGGGAGAGTGGAGAAGCCCGTGCTGTGGGTACAAGGAGCAGCTGGGAGAGTGGAGAAGCCCATGCTTTGGGGTACAAGGAGCAGCTGGGAGAGTGGAGAAGCACAAGCTGTGGAGTACAAGGAGCAACTGGGAGAGTGGAGAAGCCTGTGTTGTGGGTACAAGGAGCAGCTTGGAGAGTGGAGAAGCCCGTGTTGTGGGTACAAGGAGCAGCTGGGAGAGTGCAAAAGCCCGTGCTGTGGGTACAAGGAGCAGCTGGGAGAGTGGAGAAGCCTGTGTTGTGGGTACAAGGAGCAGCTTGGAGAGTGGAGAAGCCCGTGTTGTGGGTACAAGGAGCAGCTGGGAGAGTGCAAAAGCCCGTGCTGTGGGTACAAGGAGCAGCTGGGAGAGTGGAGAAGCCTGTGCTGTGGGGTACAAGGAGCAGCTGGGAGAGTGGAGAAGCCCGTGTTGTGAGTACAAGGAGCAGCTGGGAGAGTGGAGAAGCCCATGCTTTGGGGTACAAGGAGCAGCTGGGAGAGTGGAGAAGCACAAGCTGTGGAGTACAAGGAGCAACTGGGAGAGTGGAGAAGCCTGTGTTGTGGGTACAAGGAGCAGCTTGGAGAGTGGAGAAGCCCGTGTTGTGGGTACAAGGAGCAGCTGGGAGAGTGGAGAAACCCGTGCTGTGGGTACAAGGAGCAGCTGGGAGAGTGCAGAAGCCCGTGCTGTGGGTACAAGGAGCGGCTGGGAGAGTGGAGAAGCCCGTGTTGTGGGTACAAGGAGCGGCTGGAAGAGTGGAGAAGCCCGTGCTGTGGTTTACAAGGAGCAGCTGGGAGAGTGGAGAAGCCTGTGTTGTGGGTACAAGGAGCAGCTTGGAGAGTGGAGAAGCCTGTGTTGTGGGTACAAGGAGCAGCTGGAAGAGTGGAGAAGCCCGTGCTGTGGTTTACAAGGAGCAGCTGGGAGAGTGGAGAAGCCCGTGCTGTGGTTTACAAGGAGCAGCTGGGAGAGTGGAGAAGCCTGTGTTGTGGGTACAAGGAGCAGCTGGGAGAGTGGAGAAGCCTGTGTTGTGGGTACAAGGAGCAGCTGGGAGAGTGGAGAAGCCGGTGTTGTGGGTACAAGGAGCAGCTGGGAGATTGGAGAAGCCCGTGCTGTGGGGTAGAAGGAGCAGCTGGGAGAGTGGAGAAGCCTGTGTTGTGGGTACAAGGAGCAGCTGGGAGAGTGGAGAAGCCCGTGCTGTGGGTACAAGGAGCAGCTTGGAGAGTGGAGAAGCCCGTGCTGTGGGGTAGAAGGAGCAGCTGGGAGAGTGGAGAAGCCTGTGTTGTGGGTACAAGGAGCAGCTGGGAGAGTGGAGAAGCCCGTGCTGTGGGTACAAGGAGCAGCTTGGAGAGTGGAGAAGCCCGTGCTGTGGGGTACAAGGAGCAGCTGGGAGAGTGGAGAAGGCTGTGTTGTGGGTACAAGGAGCAGCTGGAAGAGTGGAGAAGCCTGTGTTGTGGGTACAAGGAGAAGCTGGGAGAGTGGAGAAGGCTGTGCTGTGGGTACAAGGAGCAGCTGGGAGAGTGGAGAAGCCCGTGCTGTGGGTACAAGGAGCAGCTGGGAGAGTGGAGAAGCCCGTGTTGTGGGTACAAGGAGAAGCTGGGAGAGTGGAGAAGCCCGTGCTGTGGGTACAAGGAGCAGCTGGGAGAGTGGAGAAGCCCGTGCTGTGGGTACAAGGAGCAGCTGGGAGAGTGGAGAAGCCCGTGTTGTAGATACAAGGAGCAGCTGGGAGAGTGGAGAAGCCCGTGCTGTTGGGTACAAGGAGCAGCTGGGAGAGTGGAGAAGCCCATGCTGTGGGGTACAAGGAGCAGCTGGGAGAGTGGAGAAGCCTGTGTTGTGGGTATAAGGAGCAGCTTGGAGAGTGGAGAAGCCTGTGTTGTGGGTATGAGGAGCAGCTGGGAGAGTGGAGAAGCCTGTGTTGTGGGTATGAGGAGCAGCTGGGAGAGTGGAGAAGCCCATGCTGTGGGGTACAAGGAGCAGCTGGGAGAGTGGAGAAGCCTGTGTTGTGGGTACAAGGAGCAGCTTGGAGAGTGGAGAAGCCTGTGTTGTGGGTACAAGAAGCAGCTGGGAGAGTGGAGAAGCCCGTGCTGTGGGGTACAAGGAGCAGCTGGGAGAGTGGAGAAGCCTGTGTTGTGGGTAAAAGGAGCAGCTTGGAGAGTGGAGAAGCCTGTGTTGTGGGTACAAGGAGCAACTGGGAGAGTGGAGAAGCCCATGCTCTGGAGTACAAGGAGCAGCTGGGAGAGTGGAGAAGCCCGTGTTGTGGGTACAAGGAGCAGCTGGGAGAGTGGAGAAGCCCGTGCTGTGGGTACAAGGAGCATCTGGGAGAGTTTCATGTCCGTCAACCCCAGAGGGACCCGTGTGAGGCACATGTGTCGTCATGGAGCACGGCATCAACCATAGTCCTCACACGATGCCCCACACTGGAATAACTGCTCCTCGTCCGTTGTGAAAGGTAGCAACTGTTTCGGAAGAGATTTTCCATGCCAGACCCCTTCCCGCGCCTCCCTGGATATCTCAGTAATGATGTAACAAGGAGTCTGACAGCTCAGAGCGCCATATCCAAACCAGAAAAGAAAACAAGGCTTTTATAAATTATTTCAATTGTGTGTAGAGTTCAAGAAAGAGAGCTCCATTTCATGGCAGAGACTGATCCATTCTAAACCTATTGGTAAGTTGAGAATCTGCTTTGGGATACCTCTTGTTGGAAACATCCAGGGACCATGGCAGTTAAATATCCAAAAAGCTATCCTCAGTTCACACCTCATCATTTTTGGGGGGTTAGGGTCTGGAAGCAATGATGAATCTAGCAGGTTCCTACACTGCACTCAAGTGTTCTGTGTGGGCAGGAAAGTTGGATCGTATTATATGCATTTCTCTCAAAAGATGAATAAACCATATTGAAAACAAGTCTAGTTAAAATGTGTCTGTTATGTCCTTCTTTGCTTCATAAAGCTTATTGTATTAATAACAAATAGAGAAAGCTGGAAAAGGAAGGAATTGTAGGAAGGCAAAGAGGAGGAAGAGGTGTTGAAAGAATGAGAGTGCATAATATTACATCTGAAGAAAAGAAAATTGTTAATAATAATAATAATAATAATAATAATAATAATAGTGCTTTGATGGAAAACCTGGATATGGATCTTAATTCTGCCACTTTCTGGTTGGGTAGATTTTTATTAGTGTTTATTATAAATGCTTTCCAATCATAAGGTATTTTTTAAAGATTTATTTATTTGAGGGCGCCTGGGTGGCTCAGTTGGTTAAGCGACTGCCTTCGGCTCAGGTCATGATCCTGGAGTCCCTGGATCGAGTCCCGCATCGGGCTCCCTGCTCGGCAGGGAGTCTGCTTCTCCCTCTGACCCTCCCCCCTCTCATGTGCTCTCTCTCATTCTCTCTCTCAAATAAATAAATAAAACCTTTAAAAAAAAAAGGATTTATTTATTTGAGAGAGAGAGAGTGAGAGCTTGGGGTTGGAAGGGGCTGAGGAAGAGGGAGAGAAAAACCCAAGCAGACTCCACTCAGCACAGAGCCTGATGCGTGGCTTGATCTCATGACGCTGAGATCATGACCTGAGCCGAAATCATGAGTCGGATGCTCAGCCGACTGTGCCAACCAGGTGTCCCATAGAATATTTTTTTAAACACACAAAAAAGTATAGAGAATGTTATAATGAACAGTTTCGCACCTTGCATAACTTTTAATATTTTGCCTTACTTGGTTCAGTTACTTTTTTTAACTATTAGAATCATTGACCACATATATTGCTCCCCATCCCCTTTCTCTCCTGCCCATCCCAGATGTAGTTATTAGTCCTTACTTGGTTTTTATTATCCTCATACAAACTCGTATACCTTTATTAGGCACTCATGTGCATCTGTAAACAACATATGGTTATGTAAATGGCATATTGTCTATATTCTTTTGTACTCATTTTTTTCCCCATACAAAATTATGTGTTTGAACTTCAGTCATATTATATAGATGAATGGTATAATATATTTTAAGTGCAGGTCAGATTTCATGAAACTATCCTGCACTTAAAAAAAATATATGACATATTTATGCATTCTCCTATCAGTAACTATCTAATTTGCTTCTGGTAATTTGCTGTTACATCCAGTGCTGGAATTTGTTTATAAATTACTTGGGGCTCAAAACCAGAGATACTGAATTGCACCCCGGGTGTCAAGATTTTCAAGACTTTTCACAGGAGAGCCTGAGGGGCAGCCCAGGCTCCTCATCAGACCTCTCCCAGACCAACTTAATCAGATATGGGCAGCAGGTAACAGGCATTTCTCTTTGTAAAGAACTTGTTAGATTCTAATGGGCACCTGGGATTGGGAGGAGCCCCTCCTCGAGAGAAACTCTTGCATTTGATAGATAAGGAATGATGCACAAGAGCGTTTATTCTACTATATTCTGGAACAGGGATTCTAATGTGCAACCAGGAATGAGAACTTCTGCTCCAGAATACACACCTGGAGGTGCAGTTTCTAGGTGGTCCCGCTGGAAGGAGTAAATGCATCTTTTAACTTTGTTCAGTATTGCCAATCGCCCACCAGAAGAATTAGATCGATTATATATGCTCTCATCGACACATAGTAATACTGCTCTCTTGGGATAGAAATGCATGCCTTTGTGTTATTTTGTAACTTCTTTTGTAACCTCACAGCGAGGTCAAGCTCTTTCTGGTCATTGTCCATTTGGGTTTGCTTTTCAGTAGATTGCATGCCATATAATTTGCACATTTTAAAATGTCTTGAGGAGGGATGCCTGGGTGGCTCAGTTGGTTAAACGTCTGCCTTCGGCTCAGGTCATGATCGAGTCCCTCATCGGGCTCCCTGCTCTGCAGAGAGTCTGCTTCTCCCTCTCCCGCTCCCTCTGCTTGTGCTCACTCACCCTCTCTCTGTCAAATAAATAAATAAATAAATAAATAAAATCTTTAAAATGTCTTGAGGATTTTTTAAGTAGTAATTTGTTGCTTTTTAAAATAAAAAATCCAGAAACCACGTATGTCAGTAAAATGAATTGGCATATGGGTCCTTCTCTTCTGTGTCTTGTTTTTTGTTTGTTTGGTTTTTTTTTTTTATCTCATTTATGGTATCTTTCCTTTTGCAAATTAAGAGAGAACAATGTCAAACTGTCAGTGTTTTTATAAGTTTCTTAATGATCTGCATAGTGTTACAGCTTGAGGAATTCTGTAAAACGCATGCATCTTCGCAGAACGTACCCCTATCCAAACAGAACGTGCCATCACCTCAGAAAGTTCTCTGTGGAACGTCTGAGAGAAGCCTCATTTCTTTTTTAAGATTTGCAGATGTTTTGGGGCGCCTGGCTGGCTAAGTCATTTAAGCGTCTGCCTTCGGCTCAGGTCATGGTCCAGGGTCCTGGGATGGAGCCCCGCATCGGGCTCCTTGCTCAATGGGAAGTCTGCTTCTCCCCCTCCTTCTCTGTCTCTCTCAAATAAATAAATAAAATCTTTAAAAAAAAAAGATTCGGAGATGTTTTAAGAACATGATGGTAAGAACAAGGCGTGGTTCAGACATTGTAACTGCAATTACTTTCCTCTCTGTGGTGTTTTCACGTTCCACTTTCTTAAAGGTGTCTTTTGATGAGTAGAAGGTGGGTTTTTTTTTTTTTTTTAATTTTGAAAAGCCTAACGTATTAACTTTTACTTTATACTGAATGTACTCTGTCATGAGAAGTCTTTGGCTGCCTCGGTATCATACATTCCGCTTTTCCTTTATTCTAGAAGTTGTTTATGGTTTCAGATTTTATGGTTTCATCTCGGATGCACTTCCTTTTGATGTTCTTCCAGTTAGATATCCACTTGTTCCATCACCATTTTTGTAAATTTGTATTTTTCATTGGCAGAAAGTCAGTTAGGTTCAGATCCTACCTTCGATCCCACTTTCTGTGGGTGGCAGTTCCCACATCACATGAGTTTTCAAAGCCTTTGCCAACTGTGCGAGTGTGCCCGCTGCATGCATCCTGGAAGCGGGTTAGAGAGTGGGAGGGCGCTCTGCTTCCTTGTGTCTATTCCACGTGGTGCACAGTTTAGGAGGAAGACTGAGACCGAGACTTCGGTCGGCTCACACACACAAGTAGGCTTCTCCAGCTCGCCCCCTCTGCACTTAGCCCCACGTAGGCTCGCCAGGAAAAATACAGCATGCCCAGTACCATATATGACGAATATTTTGTTTGGTATGGGCACGTCCACATGCTTGTATTAAAAACATGTTCACTGTTCATCTAAAATGGTGATTTTACTAAGAATCCTGTATTTTTAGGTGCAATCTTGTTGTTAAATCTGCCAAACATACCCCACACTCTGTGTCTCCTAGGTGATTCTTTACCTGATTCCTGTGGCCAGAAAGACAGGTCTCCATCACGTTTCTAGCAGCACGCGTATGCATGCACGCACACACACACACAACACGGTTGTGCTGTTCTGTGTGACCAGGCCCGCATTTGGGATGAAGCAGGGAGAGAGGAAAGGTTGTGATTCGCCCACAGTCCACAGGCAGCGAGGGCTCCTTTTCCTCCTCTGTCTGGGCAGAAGAAGCCCGCTGGGTCTCCTCTGGGGGCTTTCGCTGCAGCCCTAGGGCCTCCTCCACAGCAGCGCAGTCGTTCAGCCTGCGTCAGTCTGGAGAGAGGAGACAGAACCAACAAGCACAGAGACACAGGGATTCCCATCATGTTCCCCGGCACACAAGGCTCTTTCCCGGGTTTAGTGGCGAAAACCGGGGAGTTTCTCCTGCAGACGTGCTGTCCCGCCCCCTGCCCCATTCTGACACCCACGCAGCCCCCTGGTCGAAGCTGGGAAACCAAGACGGAAAAAACTAGGAAACTCAGTTCTGTTATGGGACTTGTTCAAGTCTGGATTTCAGTCCCCCAAGTGCCTACTGTTGACTTTTTAGGGGTCCCATGTGATTGTGTTTGTGTTTTGTCCCCAGATTTTAACCATGCTCAATGGAAGAAGGGCGTTTTAATTGTCTTGTTCCATCTTGTCCCCATTATTATGCTCAATGGAAGGAGGAGGCTTTAACTGTCCTATTCTATCTTGTCCCCATTATTAAATTTGAAGTAGCTCCTCTTTCCCCCACGAAATTTCTTTGGCATAGTTCCTTCTCACCATAGATAAATATAGGTGTGTGTCTCTTTCCCATCACTGTTGTGACCCACTGATCGACATGTGTGTCTTCCTAAGACCAGGCAGTCCTGATTTTTACTCTGACCTTATGCTAGCTCCAGAAGAACTATCAAAAGCAAGCAGTGGGAGGCCTGCAAAGTTGCTCGTGTTTTTCAAGGTGGTTTTGGCTATTCTGAGTCCTTTGCAACCCCCTTTAAATTTCAAGCATTGCTTGTCAACAAAGCTTGCTGGAAATAGAATTAGAATCGCATTCCATCTATAGATAATATGCCTGGAATTGAGATCTTAAGAAATGGAGTTTTCAAATCCATGAGCATGATTCATGTGTTCACTAATCTAAGTCTACTTTAATTTCTCTCAGCAATGATGTGTTGTTTCTGGGTAGAGGTCTTGCTCAGATTTTGTTAAATTTATCCCTGATCTTCTATGTTTTATGATGTTATTATAGATGGCATTTTGGTACATAAAATTCCATTTTTTTGTTATTACTATGTAAACATAGAACTAATGCATTTATATTAACTGCTTAATTCTATCCCCATGTGATATGCATCAATTAGGTGAATTAGGATTAATAGTTTGTATATTGTAGTATTTTCTACACACAAAATCATGATTCTGCAGTGTTAGACTCTTGCCTCTTTACTTAAAGTGCCTCGTCACTTTAAATAACGCAATTTATAGTTGACCCTTGAACAAAACTGGGGTTTGGGTGCCGACCCCCTGCAGAGTCAAAAATCTGCCTATAACGTCTGATTCCCCAAAAAGCTAACTAGTAATGGCCCACTGTCGACCGGAAGCCTTACCAAAAACAAGGAGTCGATTATCACATATTTTGTGTGTTCTGTATATTACATAGTCTGTTCTTACAATAAAGTAAGCTAGGAAGAAGATGGGATTAAGAAAGTCATAAGGAAGAGACAATACATGACACTACTGGACTGTATTTATTGAAAAAGAGAACTCACGTGTAAGTGGACCATCCCAGTTCAAACCCCGTGTGGTTCCAGGATCAAGCAATAACTGTATTGTTGTGCTGACTGTGACCTTCAGTACAATAGAGAACAAAATGAGAATAAATGTTCTTCTTTTTTTTAACTGCGTTTTAGTGGAAAGTGTTTAGTCTTTCACTATCAGACCCCCACAATCATAACTGGGACTTAAATTTTATCACAAGCCCTTTCTACTTCTACATTTACCATATTTTTCTCTTATATTAATAAAAGGAGTTATACTGATTGGTTTTTTACATGTTAATGCAGCCTTGCATTTATGGAATGAAGCTCCTCTCACCATATGTATTATCTTTTTGTCCCTGATGATAGCTGAATTTTATTTTGTTAAGGATTTTTGTGTTTGTATTTTATTTCTTATACTATCCTTACTTATTTTTGGTGCCTAGCTTTATTCAGTCATACATATTGTGCCTTCTGGTTTTTCTGAAGGAGTTTGTGTAGTTTTCCTCTTATTTCTTGCTTTAATGTTGCCTAGAATTCATCAATTGAGCTGTTTGACCTCAAATTTTCTTTGGAGGAAGGTATTAGTTATAAATTCAAAGTCAGGCCTATTCCGATTCTTTTTTTCCTGAATATGTGTACTCTGGTAAATTATGGGGTTTTTTAATGTCAGCTTTATTCAAGTGTTTACTTTTATTGGCATGAATTTTTTCATAGCATCCCCCTAACATCACATAACACATGCAGTGATGCCCCTTATTTCCTTAGGAAGACCAGCAGTCACTCTGTATACCCCTTCTTCCTCCGCTGCCCCCGCACCACGTTGGATCAGGTTTACCCCTGCTCTTGACCTCTTTCAATGCACTGTATTGTGGTTTGGTTGACACTCGCTATTATTTCTTTCCTTTCTCTTTTGGTGCTTTCAATACTGTCTTTGATATTTCTTGTTGTTTGTTTTTTTACTTAATTTGGGATTTATTTGCAATTCTATTTCTAGCTTAAGTGGAAGCTCAATGTGTCAGATTGGAAACTTTCTTTTTTTTTTCGTTTTTTTTTTTTTAAGATTTTATTTATTTATTTGACAGAGAGAGGCACAGTGAGAGGGGGAACACAAGCAGGGGGAGTGGGAGAGGGAGAAGCAGGCTTCCCGCTGAGCAGGGAGCCCGATGTGGGGCTCGATCTCAGGACCCTGGGATCATGACCTGAGCCGAAGGCAGACGCTTAACGACTGAGCCACCCAGGCGCCCGGATTTTTATATATATTTATTTATATTTATATATTTATTGGTATTTCCTAGATATCTTTGTTCCTTATTTCTAATGGTCTTCTTATTGCTGAATATGTGTGTGTATTTTCAGTCCTTTGAAAGTGAGGTGTTTCATGACCCTGCAGATATCCTCTGTGGATAATTATTCCATGTGTCCCTGTAGAAGAACATGTACTCTGCTACTCTTGGGCAGAGGGTCCCATAAACGTCGATCAATTAGGTCCCGTCCTTGGAGAGTGTTCAGAGCCTCCGTGTCCTTCATGACTTTTGTCTACATTCCCTAACATATCTGGAGAGAACAGATTTGTCAGTTATATATTTTTCCCTTTGTTACCTTCTGACCTGTTCTTGCAGGTGAGAAATCTGCTGGCACAGTAATTGCTACTCATTCCAACCAAATTGTGCTTTTTGTTTGGGATATGCTGTCATTTTATCTTTATCCTGGAAAGAGTGCCGTTTCCCTGGGATTGTCTAGGGTTTGCTGGTTTTACTGAACCTGCTTATTATTGGATTGCACTTTTGATTGGA